TATTTAGGGATAAATTGCATTTAAAAAAAAAAAAAGATTTCAAATTTAGGGCTCGAATCTTTTCTAAAAATTCCTACGATAAAAGGAGCTTTTTAAAAAAATCATAACAATATTGTCTGAGTCAATTTTTGTGCATTTTTCTAGCTCTAAATCACTGATATTTATTTCTAATATCTCAAATAATATAGGTACGGATTAATTTCTAGTTGCTTATAAGACTTGAAGCAGGGAGTATTTTTTTTCCCTCACGATAACAATAATATCTGAGTTAGTTTGTACGTATCTCGAATATTACCGAGCTATTTATTAGCACCTGTTTATCAGCTGCGACAAAACTGTCTGCCAAGACTAAAGTAAGAAATAATTCAGAAACACTTCTTTCCTATGTTGAATCAATGGTCTCTTGATGAGTGCTTTTGGTGATTATCTAGTGTTCCATTATACGTCTCAATATAAAAGTTATCTTACTTATTGAAATAGACTTGACTTCTTTTTTCTACTTTTAGTCACTATATATATGCATATTATTAATAATTGCCTTGTTGGGATGGAGCAAGCTTAGACAATATAAATATAAGATCTTCGAGTACGGCACTATATTAACACTGTTTAATTTGTTTGTGTAGTGACTGAAATAGTAAAAACCAGATGAAAGCAACAACAACATATAATTAATTAGCCTCGTTTATACCTTCTCTCCAATTTCTCCTTTTCAACTTAATTTCTCATGGCTGGAGGACAAAGTACAAGAAATCTCAACAAACCATGTATTCTCCTCATAGGTAACTACCCCCTCCCTTTCATTTCATGTTAATTTGTTTAGAATTGAGGGCGTAGTTATTGTTTTTTCCTCGAGTTGAGGCGCGGGGTAATTAAGGTCGTTTATGTACGTAGGATTATACTGAATATGTTGTTATTGTTTGAAGATAATTTTTTTACATGGGAAGTGTGGATTTTGGTTTTAATTTGACAGTTATAGCGGGAATGGAGAGGTTTTCATTCAAAGGGGTGGCATCAAATTTAGTGACATATCTAACAGATGTGGCCAAAATGAGCAATTCAGCTGCGGCAAAGATGGTTAACAATTGGTGTGGTATTACGTCTATGTTGCCATTGCTGGTTGCTCCACTAGCTGATTCTTATTTGGACCGCTACACCACTGTATTGGCTTCTTCTTCTCTATATTTTGCCGTAAGTTTCCTTTCAATTCGTCTCGTCTTATTGTACGCAATGTTACTCTGCAAAAGATACCTATGATTAAAGTAATTGAATCTCCTTCGTTAGAAAATTATCTAGTTTGAGTAGAGTTAAAAGGCAAAACTTTTTAATTCATGAATACAAATTGTTGAATCCTTCTGAGTTTAACATTAAAGAAGCTTCTAGTACAGCCTAGCTGCAAATGTAGTGCTTAGGTTACAAGTTTGAATGGTAAATGTGACACTCTTTACATTTTCTTCGAAATTTGGTTATTGTTTTTTCGTCGTTGAAAAATATTCCAAACATCTCACAAATAAGAAAAGTTTTGAACACCGTACTAGGATTGTGTGCTTACAAGAATAAGAATAGTATTAGTTTCAATTAGTTAGCATTTATTTCGTCTTTGATTATGAGTATAATTAGTTAGTATCCGTATACATTTTGTTGTTCGCACTACCACAAAAGAGACATTTTGTGACAATAAATTTTCTTTTTAGTATTGCCGCAAAAACATTTAACGGCAATTTAATTAATGTTATTGCCGCAAACTCCTTTAAAATTGTTGTAGTGTAGCAAACCGAACAACCCCTTAGTGCTTTCACGAGTATGCCTTTATTTCATTTTATTATAGAACAAGTGCCTATTTCAATTTAAAAAACAAAGTAAATCTTAAAAAAAGACGACTTTTGCCACTATCGGGGAAGGGGGAAAAATCTATGTTTATTGTTGCATATTTGGGTGTGAGTAGTGTTTGTAGATGGATTATCTACACGGAAATCATTAGTTAACAGCCACGGTGGACTGTAGACATGGAGCCTGAGTCATCACCCACCTCCTTTTTTTAAAAAAAAAAAAACATTGCATTATAACCTAAATCTTGCACGTAATTAATACATTTTTAACAAATTCTATTTAAAGTATGTATAACAGTTTTGTTTCATTGTCAACTCATTTTACTTACGTTATTGCTGATTCAGGTGTCACTTCTTTTGTCGCCCATTTATTATGTCTGCCTTGGTGCTTATAAAAGATTTGCCACTGTTATGTAAACTTATAAACAGTTGTTTGTCTTGGAAGAGGCTTTTAATTTGTCGAATTTTTAATACTCCCCGTTTAAAAAAAAAAGATTTAGTTTGACTTGACACGAAGTTTAATAAAATAGAGAAGACTTTCAATCATGTGGTTCTAAATTAGAGTTATGTCAAATGTACCAAAATGTCTTTTAATCTTGTGAAGATACCATGTGGAAAATTGAATTTAAAATGTTGCCAAAAAAGGAAATGGGTCATCTTATTGAAACAGACTAAAATGGAAAGAGATCATTTTTTTTAAACGGATGGAGTATGATTTAAGAACTTAAGATTAATATTATTGTCTCGATGAAAAGGGAAATATACTAAATGACGATGACTCTTTTTGACAATCAAATAATCAGGGTCTTTTAGCTTTGACATCATTGGCATTACAATGGCCATGGACATCTGTGGACAAATCGGGCTTCTCTTCATCGTTATCATGGTCTCTGCATTTAATTTCACTAGGCCAAGCGGGTTACAACCCGTCCTTACAAGCTTTTGCAGCGGACCAATTGGATGACGAAGAAGAATTGCCCTGTACAAAGAATGACCAGAGCTCCAAGAAAAAGAGTACATTTTTCCACTGGTGGTATTTTGGCATATGTTGTGGCAGCCTACTTGGAGTGTCCATTATGTCGTATATACAGGACACGTTAGGATGGGGATTAGGTTTCGCCATTCCCTCGATTGCCATGATAGTGTCAATTGTAGTCTTCAGATTTGGCAACAGGTTTTATAAACATAACACGGATGGTGAACTTATCCATATCAAGTCTTTGGGAGGTCATATAGTTAAAGCTATTAGAGCGGCTACCTCAAGATTGACCTGTGGTGAGATTGCTGTACCAGATACCAACAAGTCGAAAGTTGTTGAGATCGAGTAAGTTTTTCTTTAAAGCTTTTGTAAACGACGTACTGACAATTTAAAATGTTTTCATACAATCAACTCAATTCTAACATATCGGTAACCTAGTAAAAAAAACTAAAAATGATTTCTAACCTGCTACAACATATTGCCAACTAATGCTCATTGTGGCTTGCCTTTTTGCTCTTAGACTTGAAAATGCACCACTTTGCCAACAAGATTCAGGCAGCACGGATAAAAAGCCGGAGAATGGGATAGTAGAAATTCTAAAAGTAGTACTACCTCTACTGCCAGTATGGACTATGCTTCTGATGTTTGCAGTGATTTTTCAACAACCTGCAACATTTTTCACTAAACAAGGTATGACAATGACAAGAAACATTGGAAGCAACTTCCGAATTCCACCAGCTGCACTTCAGAGTTCAATCACAATATCTATAATCCTGCTCATGCCTCTTTACGACACATGCTTTATCCCCTTCATTCGTGTTTTGACACGTAATGAGAAAGGTATCACTGTGATGCAGAGAATGGGAATAGGGATGTTCCTTTCAGTGATAGCAATGATAATTGCAGCTGTTACCGAAAGAAAAAGACTGGATATTGCCAGAAATCTAGCTACTTTAACTTCAGAATTCGAAGCTTTGCCAATGAGCATATTTTGGTTGCTGCCTCAATACATTCTATTGGGAATTTCAGATATATTCACAGTAGTCGGTATGCAAGAGTTCTTTTACTCTGAAGTTCCGATAAATATGAGAACTTTAGGCATAGCTCTTTATACTAGTGTATTTGGTTGTGGTAGTTTCTTCAGCTCATTCCTTATAACAGTGATTGAACATTTGACAAGTTCAATTGGAGAAAAGCAGAACTGGTTCGCCGATGACATGAGCAAAGCCCGTTTAGACAACTACTACTGGTTTCTGGCATTGTCAAGTGCAACCAGTTTTCTGATGTTTATGGTTTTCTGTCGATTTTATAGAAGCAGGACTGTTAATTAGAGTGTTGGTAGTGACTGATAGTTTGTTATTGTGGAATGTTGTGTTTGCACATTCATTTCTAAGTAGAAAGTGAAGGTTCTGCACAGCTTGTATATAAAGGAAGATATATTTTGACTTCCTATCTATGCATCACATTCTCTTTTAATGAGTAAATATTGAAAAAATATCTACTTAAGTAATTTAATTTTGATTTGTATCAATAAGGTTATTAAACTTAGTGTTTTTCTCTTTAAAATTACTCTTTAACAAAATTTGAAATTAAAAAATCCCACTTAATGTTTTGAATGTGATAGATAATACAGTACCCTTCACATTTTGGATGGGATAAATATTCCTTTGATTTTTAAATTAATGACTAGAAATAAGTTGAATTATAGCATATATTTTTAAAATATAAAAACCCACCTCCAATCAATATGAATTGTAACTGTACTCTTTTAAATTAGAGGAGAACTCCTTTCAGGTTTGACTTCATAATACTGGTCTTCCTTTATAGTTTGATTTCATAATACTACCGGCCTTTCCTTATAGTTTAAGATACTTACATTCACCTGCATTATTTTGATATTTCTGTAATCAAATTAATTTAAATAATAAATTGTTTATAATAATTCAGAATTACCCTTATCTACCACCTTATTAGTTTTAAATAAATATAAAGCAAGTTGTTGAACCTCTTATCTTTTTGTGCATAATTTACAAAAAATAAATAAAAAATTATTATAATTGCATAAACATGAAATTATTAGTGGGCCGTATTGGCACGGTCTCTAGTATTTAGTATTTATAGAAGATATCTAAACTCTCCTGGAATATTCTAAGCAAATAAATAAATAAATTATATACAGTGAATTTTTGCTCAAAATATAATGCTCTATAAAATGAACTATTGAACAGAAAAAGTCACAGACTGTATGGACAGATTTAAACATTTTTTGTTTCTAAATCATACCAATAATAAAAATTAAATGAATAATCTAAATATTAGTTCAAAGCAATAACACAATCTTTTGGAGAGATCAAAGTCTCTGTGTAAACAAATCCATCCCTGGTGGTATCTGTATCTTCATCCGTAGTTAGAGGCACTACTAGATTGCTTCTTTTGTCTGATTCTTTGAATGTTTTAAGCACAATTCTTCTATCAGAACAGAACAACAGTTCACCATCTGCAAATATATATTTCGGAACGACTGGTAACACCTCATAAGCATCCCTGCTATCTCTCATCGTAAATAATTTAGTCCAAGATTCTTCCATACCATACTCTTTCATTACCCACAAATCAAAAATAGTAGCATCCTCCTCCTCATAAAGAAAATTTACACTAAGCATTCCACCTAACACTGTCACACCTTGCTCAATCGTGTCACACAACAAGGGCATTTCCTTCGACAATGGTAATCCTCCAAACACCTCATTTGAAATATTAAATGAAATCAGAGAAAACATCGAATCTACGGAATAAGTAAGCCAATGAAATGATCCTCGTAGTAATGTCAAACATTCCATATTACCGGATTGGAGAGAACAATCACCTCCATAAATTTTTCTCCAGGAACCAGTTTTTAGGGAGAGAATTTCAGTGGGTGCCTTTTCATCTTCTTCAGGAATGTGAACAACCTTATAGTCATCACTAGTTGGGTCATATCCCATTCCATGAATGTAACCATGAAAAAACTTATCCCAATGTGATGGTAGTAATATTGATTCTCTTGTAGAAGGATTACACAGAAAACGTTTCTGCTTAATCCCAATTAAAAACAAGCCATTGCAGCTACCATAGAGATGGTAATTATAGATATCGTAATACCCTGGCACACATTGCGGGACACACACCGATTCTTGTACATCCCTAACGATTTGATGTGGTGTTGTTGTCGTCAATAAAGATGAACAATAGAAGAAAACATTACTATCCTTAGCAATCCGTAGAACAAGCAATTTGTCATTTTTGGCATGATTGAGATGTTGTTTCTTAAAGCTAGGTTCACAGATTAAAGCCTTCCAAGAGTTTGAAACACACTTGAATCTAAAAAGAGACTTCACAGGCAGTCTACTTAAAATATCCATAATTATTTCTTCTTGGATGTGCATGGGAGTTTCCATTCCTAGAAGATGACCAGAAGAGATCAACAAAGTCAATATAAGATTATAGAGCAAAATTCAAAGTAAAGTTATCGTATTTTACTGGTGTTATTAAACCTAAAGTAAGAAACACCCGTAATTGTCAACAAGACAAATTTAAGTTGGTAATCAAATTCTAATAACAAACTAAGGATAGTCCAAATTTCCAAACTATGAGTGAAATATCTAAAATAAATTACCATACTAGTAAGTTATTATTATTTTTTAATTGAGGCACCTTACTTGTTATCGGAAATCATAGACAAGAATTATGGTTGGAAAAGACCAAATCTGACCAGAAATTTGGCCTGAAAAAGCTAGATAATACAAAGGCAAGAAAAGACCTGATCGCTGACAACAGTGGAGGGGTTTGAACTGAAACGGTCACAGGAGAGAGGTATTGTAATTAAGGGTTCGGGAGTTGGGGACTACTTATACTTCTCAATGTACTTTTCCTTCTCTTAAATAAAAGACGGAAAAATTGAATAATTTGATGTTAGAATTAGGTTTTCCATTCAAGGGTGTGCCCTATTTTATTGTTATAAATGGTAAATATTTTTTAATATAGTATATTTATGTAAGTTTCCCTTTTTATTAACTTATATTTGGGCCCAAAACTTTTCATGACCCAAGCAGCAAGCCCATACCCCTAAGAATATGCACGTTGTTGAGTTACATAATTTCATTGATTTGTGGGGGTTCTTTTCCTTTATGTTTGTTCTTTAATTACTCAACTATGAACTCCTGAGCTATTACTCTTTTCCTTTATGTTTGTTCTTTAATTACTCAACAAACAAATGCCCTTTCAAACAGAAAGTCATTCTTCGCAGAATTTAATTACTCAACAAACAACATGCCTACAAAGGCACTTAATGCAACCAACATGTGTAGGGGTGGCAAAATCAAGCCCAACCCGACCCAACCCATTTAGGTTTGGGTTGGTTATTGACCTGCCCATTTGTTAGCTAAATCCATCTCAACCCAATCCATTTCAACTCATTAAAAATTGGGTTGACATGTAACCCAAATTGATTGTTGAGAAATTTTGTCAAAATATTATTAAAAAACTTTTTTTTTGATTTTATATGTTATAATAAAGAAAATAATAATTTTATTAGGTACTAAAAGCTTATAAAATAACAAATAAAGCTATTCAAACTTAGTAAAAATTGCGCAGATTGGGTTATGACCAGTAACCAGTTACCTAACCTGTTTTGACCAAATCCATTTTGGCCCGAACAAATTTGGGTTGGGTCGGGACTTAACCCATTTTGACCCGCTCAATTGTCACCCCTAAACATGTGTAACTAAGTTTCCTCACGGTACTTCCCTCTCATTTTATCAGCAAGTATACTCTCTTCCTTTGTCCTCTGGTTCCTCATGTAAGCGTTAAAAAGCTGTCGGTTTTGCTGCCATAACCGCCAACTTTGGCCCATTCCTCGTTGCTTTATAAGCATCTCTGTAGTCCCCTCCTCGTCCTTGCTCTCCACCAACTTCACATAAGCCAACTTTTTTGCCTTTACCTTTCATTCCTACCCCCTACCCACTTGGTTTCCTGGACACAAGCTATACTAATCTTCCTCTTCCTAAGGATCTTTACTAACTCTATGGATTTCCCCATCAGCGACCCAATGTTCCACAATCCTAATCTCAGCATAGATGCACTCTGAACCCAATTGCCGCCCCTTACCCGATTCCCCTCCCTGAGAACATGACCCTAGTCTATCATCGCAAACCAAAGCACTAAAGCAGAAGAAACAAATCAAGGAAGTAATATACACAACGAGGAACTACCGGCCCAAATCAATAAGACAATACAAGTAGGTAGGCAAGCAACAAATTAGACAGTGACGCAGCCCAAGAACTAATACAATCCAGCAATTAATAAACAATAACATAAATCAGCAAACAATCCAGAAAGCAATTAGCAAGAATGAAATATGATAAGCTATACTACAAACTAGCAAGACATTATAGAAAAATAAATACGATAAAGTATAGAAAACCCGCACACAAATATCAACACCAAAACCACAGCGACAGATGACAAAGATGGAGAGATAGAACCTGGCGGGACACGTTGTTGGGGTCGGGTCGATCTGGAAATCGACGGGAAAGAGCTGGTGAGTTCCTTCGTTTGCCGGTCATAGAGTGCAATATAGTTGATATTTGTTAAATTAGGTCTTAGGCCTAACTCACACCCCAAAAGCTAGCTCAAAGGGAGGAGGATTGCCCAAGCCTTATAAGGAATCCACCCATCTCATTAACCACCGATGTGGAACTTTTGTCATTCTTTAACAATATTCACCAACCAGAATTCTAAAATCTTAAAAGAAAGTTCATTTACAATGTAAAATTCCAAAAATTGAGAATGAGCTGTGAAATGGAAATATAGTAAAGCTCCTTTTGATAAGAAAAGTTAGTTCATCATTAGTATCAAAGAGCAAGTTTTCCATAGACACACAACAAAGGAAAATATACTTAAATCACTTCAAAGAAAATTTCTAACACAACATTGCAATTTGAACTAGAATCATCAAATACAAAAAGACTGAAACTTTCCTTTTCCTATCTGAAATCCTTTATACAAAGGGAACCCCAACCTCTAAACCATAACCCCTCTGCAAAGAATATATCTTTATAACTAGTTACAAAAAAATGAACCATGGATTTCCTCAAGGATGGGTATGATAGCCATTAGTTTCTGATTCAGGAACAGGTACGATAGCCTTTTGCATTTCAACATTCATCTCTTCTTTTATCCCATTCTCATTGTCATCCTCTTCATCAGACTCCAACGTAAAATGAGCTTGACTATCTATTTCCAAGTGTTGCATCTCAGCTCCAATAGGTCTATACCGCATATGTTCACGGCCAATGCCGTGATTTTTACACACAATTGAGTATACAAAAGTAACCACAGCTACAAGAAGAGCAAGGTGGCAATTGAACTGAAGGGTAGCAATAGCTCCACCTCGATGGTACTGAGGATGACCTTTACACTTAACCGTGTAGTTACCTCTACTCCTTTCATGCAAATAGCATCCCTGTGTAATCAAGTCGGAGAAAAAAGCAAACCCCATTTGAAGAGTCCACATCCCTTGCAAGATTAACCCAATCCCACGTCCTAATCTAGTGTAATTCGATTTGGGATTTTTCAATTCTAGAAATGAACAAAATGCACAAATAGCAATAGGCACAAGCAAGAGATCATAGTAACGATTCTCAACTCCACTTGGGTCTTTCCTTTGAAGATAAAACAACACAAATTCCTCAGCAAAAGCGAAGAGACATAGCAAATTGAGGATCGGTGAAGGTAAATCGAATGATTTTTTCAAGCGGGTCATGAGACCTAATACCGAATAGAGAAAGAAAAGAAGAGAAATGGCGATAACCTGCAATTGAAGGACGGAACCAATGTTGTCTTTTGAGTTGAGTGCGTCGAAAAAGGATAACAAGGAATCGAGAACGAAAAGGAATGAAAGGATTAAGATTAACACAAAGGTGATAGATGAAGAAAAAACAGAATCTTGCTCATTCTTATCTGTATATGGGTTTTGTGGCGGCGATTGGGTAGTGGACGACGGTGATGAAGTTTTCAGGGCACCGGAGGAAGAGACAAGAGATTCCCAAGCGCCGATTAGTATGAATCCGCCGCCGGCGACAGTATAGCCGAATAGCCCCATTGTTGACTTTGATTATCGTTAGATCTCAAGAAATTCTATGTTAAAGAGAAGCTTCGTTGATCTGGCCAGGCTGTGCCTGCCTATTTAGTCTGCGTCCCTCAAGTTAGACTTGTCTGAATTTGCTTCTCACCTGACTTTCCAAGACTCAAATACTCCCTTCTTTTCTTTCTAAAAGTATAAGTGAAGTTGTGTTAAATTTAGATAGGTTAAAATAAAGCAAGGAAATGAATAAGTAGGTTATTGGTCCTAAAATTATACTCCGTCCGTCTTTAGTTACTTGTTCATTTTTTTTACTGGTTCATTTTGACAAATCAATAAAGAACATTTTTTTTTACTTATTATATCATCAATTAATTACTTTGAAAAAAAATAGAACTTTTTGAAAATCTTAATTTTTTAATTAATCCGCTTCATAATTAATAAGGATAAAATGGTAAACTCATTATGTCAATCATTATTTTTTTAACAGGTGTTTCAATTCAAAATTGGAAAAGTAATTAGGAACAGAGGGAGTATATGATACAATTTAGGATAGTCATATTCAAAAGCTAGTTATTTAGATTAGAGAGATCAAGGTCATATGAGTTTCAAGTTACTCCATTAAATCAATGTGAGACTTAAATGACAAGTTTCATCCCTCATCACGATCTACTGTTGTCGTGTTAAATTCGTTTTAGCCACATATCAATATTATATTATTGCATTTAAAATAAATCAATTCAATCAAGTTCATAATAACGAATTGTAGGCCGGTGCATGTCCAAACCCCTAGAAGCATGCTCCTTTACACGCCCATAGACGGACCCCTAGGCTCCTACCGACCCCTTGACACATTTATAACTTGTTTGATTAAGTTTATAATATCAACTTATTTTAAAGTGTATAAATTTTTTTCAAAATATTTTTTTGAAAAAATGCTTTTGGTGAGAATTGACAAATAATTTGTACTTAGCTAATCTAATTAAAAGAATTTATTAGCAACTATTAGTATTGGACTAAACTTTTAAAAAGTGCCTCTAACTATATTTTCATAAAATGTTTTTGGGAATTTTTTTTTATTTTTTAGTGTTTAAAAATTAATTCCCGCTACTCCCTCAAAACACTTATTTTTTCCTAAAAGATAAGTATTTTTTTTAAAAAAAGGAATAAATGCTTGACATTTGTTGCAATTTTAAAGTGAATTTTATCATATGTATCTAAATTAATGGAGCCAAGAGGGGGATTTGATTTCATTACCCTTTATAAGGAAAAAATCTTTTTTTTTCTAAGTTTTTTATTTTTATTTTTAAACATAAGAAATCCGAAAATATCTTTTTCTTCCTTATGTGTGTACGCATATGAAATATGGAAACAAACAAAATACTTAACAGATGACACAACTAAAATACCAGAATAGGTACTTTCTTTAAAACCCCACGTTATTTATCACATTTTGGTGCCGGAATCCTCTATTAATATTGCACTTCTTCTCGTGTGCACGCATCCTTTTTCCTGTTCCTCTCCGAAACTTGTTGCTCTGTTTGAGTAAAAAAATTGCACTTTCTGTTTGGCTTTACTCATGATGCAAGTCATAATTTCAAAATCCTAGTAATCCTTATCTTGTACTAGACATATAACAAGTATATAAATACCAGACAGTACTCTCTCATCTATAAACTGCAAATACTCCTACATTTTACAGTTAACATCATGAATATCATCAACAGAGCAGCTTCGATTTTACTTCTTTTCGTGTTCTTCTTGGCTTTTTTCCAAAATTCTGTTCATGGGCGCCCTCTTTTACTGTCAATGTCCAGACCCAAGCCGGATGATGCTGCTTTATTTGCTCGATGGCTCGTTTCTCAGAGTTCTTGGGGTGTTCTCAAGTATGTACTATTGTCCCTTCTTTTCTGTCTGAAAGATCGAATCTTTTACTATGGTTTGTTATTTTTAGTTTGGGATCGAGGGTTGTTGATTGTTCTTGATTTTGCTTCATAGTTCATAACCTAGTTAGATCGAGGGTTCTTGATTGATTGCTTTAAGTGTAAAGACATAATTTTTCTTGTTTCTTGTGTGGTACAACTTCTCAATTAATCCCTTTGTTTCAGTTTGTTTGTCTGATTTTAACTTAAGAAGACACTTGAATCTTGTGGTGTTAAACTAAAGATATGAGGAATATATGGTCTTAAACATGCTATTAAAGAGTGCCCAAAAAAGGAAGAGACCTTCTTTTGAAATAACAAACAAATTGAAATGGAGGGTTAAATCTGCATTACAGATGTTTTCATTTGTGGCAACTAAAGTCAACTTATTGCCTATAACAGATAACAGTACTGACTAAATAAATTATAACATTAATTTTAACTGAAAGCTGATTCAGTGACCTTTCTTTTG